ATGTATGAAGAACTGCACAGGGAACCAGCAGTTAGCATAATGGCTATGTCACTGGACTCCCACGTGGTTGTGGTTCACGTCCCGGACCCTGTGGCCTAAAACTCACGCCGGGCGCATGTGCGTGCGTGCCCAAGATCCCAAGAGGAGAATGGAGGAGAAGGGATTGCGGCGTGACCATCTCCCCTGGGGGGTGATTTCTCGCTTTCTGTCTCTCTGTCTCTCTCTGTCTGACGAGCGCACGCGCCCTATAGCGAAAATCTCTCCAAAACAAACAAATAAAAAAAGAACTGCACATATTAGTGTACATGTTTTGGTGAATTTGGGTATATTCAAACACCCATCATCCCAACATCATAAACAAGGAAATACACATATCCAACTCCTTCCAAAGTTTCCCTGAGAATACTTTTATTGACAAGAAAGCTTTAGGGCCAGTCTCATGGCCTTGTGATTAAGGAAATTATATCCCCCATGGCTAACTGCACTTTGAGTTCTGGCAAGAGTACCTTGAAAACATACCAAGCACATATGTGTAAGTGCCAAAAGTCCTGACAGGATTGAGAAGTGGAAGAGTCAGAATTGTTGTGTGACCACTGACCCACTGTTTTCTTATCCACTTCCTCTCTGTCTCTCTGTCAAGAGCACATAACTATTGGCAAATAAATTTAAAAAAAAAAAGAAGAAGAAGAAAATTTTAAGTTTAGTCAGTTGTCTTTTTATCATGACCCCTTAACCTTATTATTTATAGCATCATAAAGTAATGACCCTCAGCTGTCACTTGACCATTAAGAAAAAGCATTATTTTTATTTAAGAGAATTTGTAACATAGAGCTATTTATGTGAACAACTAAAATAGGCTAAACTTGAGGGGAACTAAATATAGTGTTGAGCTTTTAAATTCTTTGATAACATACAACTCTAAATACAGATTCAAGCTTTGAATTTTTTACTGATAATCAATATTATTTGACACAATGAGGATTCTCCCACAAATGTTAATTTTGCCAATTTCCTAATTGCTAGAAAATCCTTGACATTTGGATTTGCTGTACAAAATACAGAACTCAAATGTAAACTTCAGTACTTCCTTAAAGAACTGTCTTGTGCAATTTAGAACATACATTAGAACATTGCTTAGTTTTTCTAAAATACTAATTTAACTGGGTCTCCTGCATTATTATTTGCTAAATTCTGACAAAATAATTGAGGTTACTAGTATTTATTATAGACTAATGAATCCAAAATTGCCTCAGAAAGACACTGCAGGACTATGAAAGGGAATTGGATCGATTTGCATCTTAGCAAACAGTAGCTCAGACTAAATTAATATATGTGGAAAAGTACAGCCTACTGAGAAGGTACATGGACATACAGTGGCCAGAGCAAGGATTACCAAGAACATTGTTCAACAAGGCTTCCGAGACGTGAACCGCGGTCGACTACGTGGGAGTCCAGCGACATAGCCATTACGCTAACTGCTGGTTCCCAAAACGGAGAGGAGGCATGGAGATGCTGGGGAACGAATTGGGTTACTTTCTTTAACAAGATCTGGAAGGAGTTTATTTTAGAGGATAGCAAAAAAATAAATAAATAAATTAGCTGGGAATTAATTAGCATATATCATGGAATAACTATATACTGTAGCTTTCAAAAAAAAAGTAATATATGTCTATAACGTGCAAAGTAGATACAAAAAAAAAAAAAAAAGCTAAAAATCAAATCTCTCCTCACTAAGATATATAGAAACTTGGTCTGGCATATCTAAGGTGATGTATGTTATGATCTGGTTCTGCATTTTTTTTTTTTACTATTTACTTTTTTTTTAGAGGTTTTTTTGCTATAAGACACGTGTGCTCACCAGAAAGACAGAAAGAAAGAGAGACAGAAAGCGAGAAATCACAACCAAGAGGGATGGCCACATCGCAATCCCTTCTCCATTCTCCTCTCAGGATCTTGGGCACACAAACACACGTGCTTGGCGTAAGTTTAAGCCACCGGGTCCTGGACTCGAATCACAGTCATGAGAGTTCAGTGACAGCCATTACGCCAACTGCTAATCCTTGTACATTTTTATTTTTACTCCCAACATTTTCTTTGTTCAGTTTTAATCTATTTCAATGTACTCATTTCCTTTAGTTGTAAGTAAAATACTAATAACCTAAAAATAAATAATTGTTTGCTTCCTGTTATATGAAATCTACTCTGTAAAATACTAATCTTAGTACTCAGTATATACATCATGAACTATATTTCCAATATGCTAGTTATTTATGTTATCATTTGTTGTATAAGACAGGAAAATCGATGTTCATTTGATGGAATAAATGTATGTATTCTACAAAGTAACTATAAATTCTATGCTAGAATATACTCTATATTTTCAGCAGATTTAGATAAAATAAATGTTTTATAGAATTAGTACTTTGTTCCATTAGTCTGAAATTGCTTCTTCCATGTTTTATTTTTCTGTATCCCCAATGTTTCAGCTCTCTCCAATGATTGGAATTCAAGATAGTAAGCTCGTGACTAAATGTTATATTGCAAACTTTTTTTTCCTCAACTATTATATTTACCTAACTTCCATGCTATTCAACACTGACATATATGCATTCTACACTTATTTTCAAAAATAAAACAAAATAAAATGGTCTAAAAATTATTTGAGTGACAGTAATATTGCTATTGTTCTGAGCACTTTATTTACCAGGATCCAGTAGAAGAAATTATGTCCCTATAACAGGGATTATTTGCAAGATGAGAGGAAAACAGTCACCCAAGAACATGTAGCATAATTATACAATGTATTAAAAGGTCAGGGCTGCATCTCAGGAGTGAATGTTTGTTCTTTAAGGAGGAGTAAGAGAAGATACGCAATCCCAGATGGTGGTAAAATACTCAAGAATTAATACAAAGAAACATTATAAAGTAAAGTATTTCCCAGAACTCTAATTAGAGAGGCTTTTTTTGTTTTTGTTTTTGTTTTTAGACATATATTTGCTAAAGGATGTATGACCTTGATAGATAGACAGAGAGAGAGACAGAAAGCAAGAAATTAATTACACCTTGGGAAGAATGACCATACAGCAATCCATCTCTTCCATTCTCCTCTTGGGATTTGGGGCATAGAAGTACACACACCTGGCATGTTTTAAGCCGACAGGTCCGGGACTTGAATCATTATCAACTACTTTGTGGTCCAGTAATGTTAGCAATATGCCATCTACTGGTCCCTAGAGATAGTGGGGACTTTAATATTCAATCTCCTGGTAGAAGAACTCAGAGTCTTAGATAAATGCAATCTGGTATGCAGGAGATTGGAGAATAGAGTGGAATACAAGATTTTATATCTTTCTTTATCATGTATACAACTGTCCTAGAGATATTTTTAATGGTTTTGTTTTGATATAATTGATGTATGAAGAACTGCACAGGGAACCAGCAGTTAGCATAATGGCTATGTCACTGGACTCCCACGTGGTTGTGGTTCACGTCCCGGACCCGGTGGCCTAAAACTCACGCCGGGCGCATGTGCGTGCGTGCCCAAGATCCCAAGAGGAGAATGGAGGAGAAGGGATTGCGGCGTGACCATCTCCCCTGGGGGGTGATTTCTCGCTTTCTGTCTCTCTGTCTCTCTCTGTCTGACGAGCGCACGCGCCCTATAGCGAAAATCTCTCCAAAACAAACAAATAAAAAAAGAACTGCACATATTAGTGTACATGTTTTGGTGAATTTGGGTATATTCAAACACCCATCATCCCAACATCATAAACAAGGAAATACACATATCCAACTCCTTCCAAAGTTTCCCTGAGAATACTTTTATTGACAAGAAAGCTTTAGGGCCAGTCTCATGGCCTTGTGATTAAGGAAATTATATCCCCCATGGCTAACTGCACTTTGAGTTCTGGCAAGAGTACCTTGAAAACATACCAAGCACATATGTGTAAGTGCCAAAAGTCCTGACAGGATTGAGAAGTGGAAGAGTCAGAATTGTTGTGTGACCACTGACCCACTGTTTTCTTATCCACTTCCTCTCTGTCTCTCTGTCAAGAGCACATAACTATTGGCAAATAAATTTAAAAAAAAAAAGAAGAAGAAGAAAATTTTAAGTTTAGTCAGTTGTCTTTTTATCATGACCCCTTAACCTTATTATTTATAGCATCATAAAGTAATGACCCTCAGCTGTCACTTGACCATTAAGAAAAAGCATTATTTTTATTTAAGAGAATTTGTAACATAGAGCTATTTATGTGAACAACTAAAATAGGCTAAACTTGAGGGGAACTAAATATAGTGTTGAGCTTTTAAATTCTTTGATAACATACAACTCTAAATACAGATTCAAGCTTTGAATTTTTTACTGATAATCAATATTATTTGACACAATGAGGATTCTCCCACAAATGTTAATTTTGCCAATTTCCTAATTGCTAGAAAATCCTTGACATTTGGATTTGCTGTACAAAATACAGAACTCAAATGTAAACTTCAGTACTTCCTTAAAGAACTGTCTTGTGCAATTTAGAACATACATTAGAACATTGCTTAGTTTTTCTAAAATACTAATTTAACTGGGTCTCCTGCATTATTATTTGCTAAATTCTGACAAAATAATTGAGGTTACTAGTATTTATTATAGACTAATGAATCCAAAATTGCCTCAGAAAGACACTGCAGGACTATGAAAGGGAATTGGATCGATTTGCATCTTAGCAAACAGTAGCTCAGACTAAATTAATATATGTGGAAAAGTACAGCCTACTGAGAAGGTACATGGACATACAGTGGCCAGAGCAAGGATTACCAAGAACATTGTTCAACAAGGCTAATTAGAATTTCATGAAGGTAGCTTCAGTCTTCATTTATCACATCAGTCTTCATCACAAGACAGACTACAAGAGAAGAGGTAAAGAAAATTACAGTAAAAACTAAGAATCAGGTGTAGCTATCCAACTGCATCAGGTTGACTCAAAACTAATTGCATACTTCTCTATTTGAACATGCCAGACAAGGTGGAGAATATTTTAATGCTCATAGTAGCTGGAGAGTTTTCAGTGGGGATCTTAGGGAATGTATTCATTGGGTTGATAAACTGCAAGGACTGGGTCAAGAGCAGGAAGATTGCCTTCATCGATTTAATCCTCACAAGTCTTGCCGTCTCCAGAATTTGTCTATTGTGTATCATACTATTGGATTGTTTTATACTGGTGCTGTATCCAGATGTCTATAGTTCAGGTAAACAGATGAGACTCATTGACTTCTTCTGGATGCTCACCAACCATTTCAGTGTCTGGTTGGCTTCCTGCCTCAGCATTTTCTATTTCTTCAAGATAGCTAATTTCTTCCACCCTCTTTTCCTCTGGATGAAGTGGAGAATTGACAGAGCAATTCTCAGGATTCTACCAGGGTGCTTGGTACTCTCTGTGTTTGTTACCCTTCCAGTCACTGAGAATTTGAATGATGATTTCAGGCACTGTGTCAAGTCAAAGGGGAAATCAAACTTAACTTGGAGGTGCAGAGTAAATAAACTTCAATATGCTTCCACCAAGGCATTTCTCAACCTCTTCACGCTGCTGCCTTTTTCCATGTCCTTGATCTCATTTGTCCTCTTGATTGTCTCCCTGTGGAGACACACCAGGCAGATGCAGCTCAATGCCACAGGGTGCAGAGACGTCAGCACAGAAGCCCACGTGAGAGCTATGAAAGCGGTCATCTCCTTTCTCCTCCTCTTGCCATCTACTATTTGGCCTTTCTCGTAGCCACCTCTAGCTACTTCATGCCAGAGACTGAGATAGCTGTGATTGTCAGTGAGTCGATAGCTCTAATCTACCCATCAAGCCACTCATTTATTCTCATACTCGGGAACAATAAATTAAGACAAGCATCTCTAAGGTTGCTTTGGAAAGTAAAGTATATTCTAAAGGGAAGAATATGCTTATCAAATAAACTGGTCTGAAGAGAAACTACCATTTTTTTATGACAAATGAAGTTAAGATGTTTCTTAGTTGTCTTTAGTTCTTGTGTCAATATTGGCTTTATGTAGTTAATTGCTCTTAAAACATAGTAAGTATACCTATCATTGTAATTTGTAGAGCCTCATGAAGAAGTGATTTTATATCTCTCTGTCTCTGCCTCTTATCTCTCTTTTCTCTTCAGAGTTAATATTTTCAAAAGCGCATTTCAAAGCAAATAGAGATTGATATACTAAGGTTAAATAAAAGAGGAGAGGACATTCTGGTAGGTAGATCCAAATCATGCTTCCAGATGCAAAGTTATAGGACTAATTTAGAACAACTGTAATAGCATCTCTCGGTTATTTGCATCCTTATGGAAAGCAAGTGGTTCATTATCATGGTTCTAGTTTAACATCTCTTTTCAGATCATCAACTAAGCTAAACATCTGGAAAAGTCTCAATAAGGTGATCAATAAGGTGACAGTTTCTAATAAATGTAGTAGAAGTCTATGAATGTATCAGAAATTAATACTGATAGCATTCACAGTTGAGTTATTAATTTTGGAGCTGGCCCTGTAGTCTAGTGGTTAAAGAAATCAGATCCCACACGACTAACCATGGTTTAAATCCTGGCCCTGGCAACTTGAAAAATGCATTGGATGCACATATATGCATGCCACAAATCCTGACAAGATGGAGAAATGGAGGAGAAGGGATTACAGAGTGACCTTACTTCACTGAAAGAGGTGTTTTCATCATCTCTCTCTTGTTCTCTCTGTTTTTCTGTCTCTCTCTAGTGTACATATATGCCCTCTGGCAATTAAAAAATGTTTTTAATATAAACTGTGATTAAATAAATATTGTTACAATACCTTCAAACATTATGTTAGGGTTCTAAATTCAGTAGCACCCAGGTAGCCCAACTGTATAGAAAGCCAGAAGTCACATGGGAGACCCTTGTTCAGTCACTAGTCCAACATGAATATATCACACACAATTTCATGCCTATAATCCTGCTAGTTGGATGGCTGGGGCAGGAGTATCACTACACAGGGAGAACCTGTCAAGAATGCCTGTGGGAAGAAGGTGGGCGAGAGGGGAAGAGTAAAAAGAAAAGACTCAAGGAGAGAAATAGAGACTTTTAAGGGACACAGAAATGGATGATTGTTGATGATAACATGTATAATATCTTCAGCTGGACTGGTATGAAGTATATTCAAGCTGGGTAATTCATTTTACAAGCTGCAGCGAGGTACGGTGATTGAATGTATAAAATATATTAGCATAATATTTTTATTATAAAATGTATAAAATATATTAACATAATATATATTTTTATTATAAAAAATGCCTATCTCTGTCTCTCTTTTTTTTCTCCCTCTCTCTGTCATAAAGAAAAAAAAAATAGGACTGTAGACCAATGGATAAAAGACAAATACTCCATAAGTGAAAGATGGCGAATTTATGCAGAAAGCTTCTATAAAATAAAGAGCATAAATAGAACTATTAATTTCTTATTGAAGAAAATTTCTCCACAAAAGGCATGGATGCATTTGTGACTGTGAAAAGATGAGATCTTCAATAATAAGCTTATAATTAGAGATGAAAAAATGCCAAAAGTGGCAAGGAAAATTCCAATTAAATGTAAATCATCTCCCAGGGAAATGTTATTTGCATTGTACATAAAACATTCATGAGCTATCTATTTGGAACATTTCATCAAAAGCACATTGTTTGTGTTATGATAAAAATATTTTGGAATGATCAATTTGTTACTAATCAGCCTAGATTAGTCATGAAATTTGTATACAGAAAAGAAAATGTTTATTAATGAAAAGATATTGAAATATTTTCATCAATAAATTTGGTAAAAATCAGAATGACTTTTATAGTAGTTTTTTATGTTAACTTCCTTCTCTGAATCTAATAGTGCAAAAGATGCCCACTGATTTAAGTTGATAAGTTTTAAGATTTTTTTTAAGTGTCTTGTAAGCTAAAGAAACAATGGGAAATTAGTTGCATCAGCTAAGGCTTATATTTCTTTTAGTGTTGTCTTTAAAATATACTCTCCTGGCACTCCACCTAAGCGATTACGTGGATTTATTTGCTATAGCAACAGAAAAACCGTGGAAATAATGAGAATCTGGGAAGCTCCACATTTGATATCTCTATACTGTGGACCCTAAAACCTTCATCAAGTTATTGTGGATCCTAAAACCTATATGTAAATTGTAAATATAGCACCTCAGGGGCCAATAGGTAGTGTGGTGGTTAAGGTACTGAACTCCCACGTGGTTGATCGCAATTGAAGTCCTGGACCTGGAGGCTTGCTTTCTCACTTTCTCTCTCTCTCTTATATATATATCTGACTCTCTCATCAAATTAAATAATAAGAATAATAACTAAAATTAAACAAATAATTGTTTAAAATATATAAATATAGCACCTCAACATTCTATTTCTCTGTGGACAGCAGTGAGACAAAGGATACTGAGGTAGAAATGGGCCCGGTATTAGTGAACTCCTACTGTACATCATCCTTAGTGGTACATCTAGGATGAAGATGAAGTAGCCAAGGTAGGTGAGTTTATCATCTGAGATTATATTACTTCTGAGAAGTCTTGGAAAGATAGTAACTCAATAGTGAAAGGAGTATTTTCTTTCACTCCCAACAATCAGGTAAGTTTTCAGACTGTTTCTAAGAGTAGTGAAGTAACTAAGGAAAATTCAGACAAATTTATTCATTTCTGTTTTTATTTCTTGCTTAATAAATACATAGCCATTCACACACCAAATGTCTAGATGCTAGAAATACAGATGAAATGTGACAAAGGCCATGCTATCATGAACTGAACTGTCATGGAAAATAGCAAGTACTGAATGATCAAGTAAACAGCAATTACAAATCATGATTAATTCAACCTAATATAACTAAAGGTGAGAAACAGCTTTATATAGCATCATCAAGATAGGCCTAGCCAGGAAATTGATATCCAAGTTGAGATTTGAATGACAAATACCATCTAGCCATAGAATATTCTGGAGAAATAACATCCAACACAAAATGGCAGAGCAAGTACAAAGAACTTAAGGAGAAAGTGTCTGAGAAAAGGCAGTGAGGTCTAAACAAGTAGAGCCTGGTGAACAAGGGATGACTGGCAGGAGATAAAGACCAAGACTGTGAAAGACTCTATAGGGTCATTAAAGGGCATTTAGGTTTAATTTAAATACAAATGGAAGACACTGAAAGAACTGAAAACACATTCAACACAATTTGATTTATAGATGGATTTAAGTGCACTGTGTTTATAACAGATAGTATGTGTGTGGAGAAAATATTGAGGGAACAGCTAGTAAGTTATTATAGTAAATAGTCCATGAGAGAAAGCACACTTGCTCAATGTGGATGGTGGCCATGGAAGTAGGAGACTTGTTTAATGGACCAGTTCTATGTCTTATGTAGGTAAAGCTGACAGGTTTGGCTGATTGATGACCTATCATTGATGAATGATGTTGAAGGAAAAGAGGATTCAAAATCTGTAAGTTTGTTTTTTTTTTTTTTTAACAACTAGGAATACACTACTACCTAGGATTTAGGGAAGAACTATAAATTGAGGGTGAAGAAAATATAAATGAGAAATTGTGTTTTTTACATACTATGATTGACAGACCTAAGAAATAACCAAGTGAAGATGTGAAAGAGATAACTGAATTCATAAATCTGCAACTAAAAACAGATCAGGGATATAAATTGGGGAGTCATCAAAATATCAATGGGTTTACTATATTTTTATTTATTTATTTAAAGGTTTTAGCCATAGGATGTGTGCACTCAGCAGAGAGAGAAAGACAAAAACAGTGAGAGTGAAATCAAGAAATCACCTTTTTTGGGGGGGGTGGAGAATAGCCACACTACAATTCCTTCTCCATTCTCCTCCTGGGATCATGGGTATGCACACACACTCATCCAGTGTGAGTTCCAAGCCACTGCGCCCCAGTCAGTCATGTAGGAGTCCAGTAACATAACCACTACACCATCTACTTGCCCCACCAATGGGCCTACTCAAAAAAAAAAAAAAAACATTATTGATAGTGCTGATCTTGTAGTCTAGTAGTTAAGGAAGCTGTACAACACACAGCTATTTACAAGTTTGAGTCCCAGCCCCAGAGGTTCGAAAAACACTGGCATGTGCATATGTTTGTGTGCATATATGCATCCAAACTCCTGAAAAGGGGCAGGGGGGAATTAGGAGAAGGGATTGTGGTGTGACCATGCTCCACTAAGGGAGTGCTTTTTGCCTCTCCCTCTTTGTCTCTGGTAAGCACATATTCCCTCTGACAATTAAAAACTAAATAAATACATTATCTAAAAAGACTATTGATAGATAAGTGACACCAGAAATGAAGTGTTTGAATCTTTAAAGATTAGACTGAGGAGAATCAACCAACAGAAGAAAATCAGTAGTTCCTAGGAAGATTTTTTTTTTAAAAGAGAAGGACAATGTATTGGGATGGAAATATTAGGCAGGACATCTAACTAGACATCACTGGGTTACAGAGGTCACAGACTGGCTTCTCAAATGCTGCTGAGAAAAAGCCAAAATTGACATAGCGACCACTGCAATTGGCAACATGAATCTGCAATTAGTAACCACAGCAAGAACCACATTAT